AATTTTTATATTTTTAGTAGAGACAGGGTTTTAGCATGTTTCCCAGACTGGTTTAGGACTCCTGATCTCAGGTGATCCGCCCACCTCAGCCTCCCAAAGTGCTGGGATTACAGGGGTGAACCACCACACCCAGCCTGCAATTGTTTGTATCTACTGTCCATTCCATGGCATTCCAGAAGTCTTGGCCCATGCTGTTGTGAATTTTGCAACTGGTCCTGAGCATATCCCAGGTCTCAGCTTGAGTCACTGGGAAAGAGAATCCCAAGAAATCATTTTTCCACCCAGGAAAAATAAAGCACTAGCCTCTGCTCATCCTACAACCTAGCCACGCTACACAAGCCTGACTCTCCCATTCCAGAGCTGTGTGATTGGTACATCATTCAACCCTCTGAGCCTCAGTTAACCTATCTAAAACATGGCATTACTGGAGACCGTCCTCTCTGGGTTGTTTTAAAGATTCCATGAGACGTGTGTGAAAAATATGTAGAATGGTCACTGGCATGTAACATACATTTAGTGAATAGTCATTTGTCTTCCTTTTTTTCTCTCAGCCTTCTTTCCTTCTGACTTCTTCCTCCCTCCCTCTCTTCTTCTCCCCATCCTGCTTCCTGGAGTCTATCTGATGGAGAAATAAGTTTACTTTAGCACCCCAAAGATGTGACCAAGAAGGAGTCAAATTTGTATGTAACGGAGATTTCAGTGGGGGCCTCCAAGATCTTGTCATTCCCTGTTTTCCTGGAGCCTTTTTTCTCCCCCTCAAGGAGTTCCCCAGAATTCCTCTAAATCCCTTGAACACTGTTTGGTCCTCAGAGACTCCTCGGACAATTAGATCTGCTGTGCCCAATGCAAACCTTCCAGACCTAGCGCTTATAAATTCACGGTCAGCCCTGCGCTGTGTCCCTCCCCTTGGAACACGGTAATCACAGAGCAAGTGTAAATGCTAAAGAAAGAACCAAGCAGGGCAGGGCTGAACCACATGAGTGATGCTGTGAAGATTTCAGGGAACCCACGAGAGGACCGGGAGGTGGGCGAGGCAGAAGGACAAGCTGTCTCGCCCTCGCTGGCATTTAGGGGAAATGAGGCCCAATTAATGGCTGACAACGCAGCTCTGCCCCTGTGCCTCTGAGCTGAGCCAGAGCGGCCCGCAGATGTGCTCGGCCCACAAATATGCAGCTGACATCTCCTGAACTTTCGGTGACTTGATTCCAGCTGATCTGATGGGCAATTACATTTATTTTGGGGCCAAGGCGACAGTAGAGAACCAGGAAAATTATAAGACATCAGAGTCCAGTTTTTCTAAGAACAGCAACTCCAAACTTTTTTTAACCAGTTGTTGTTTTATTGGTTAGGAGTTTGCAGGGCACTAAAATAAGAAAACCCTGGACGCTAAAATAAAAAAACTCTGCACACTGAAATCAGATTATAGCCAGTTTCCCAAGATTATAGCCAATTTTCCCAGATGATAGCCAGAATTTCTCAGTTTTTCCCAATTTTCCTAACCCTTTGTCCAGTGAAAAATCTGGGTTTGATATTTTTTTTTTCTTTTTCTTTTTTTCTTTTTTTTGGAGAGGGGATGGAGTAACTCCCACTGAGAGAAATTTGCTAGTAACAGCAAGTACAAAATAGAGGTAAAAAAAAAAATTGGATTTGTAGTTTGTTTTCGGGTTGAATATCACTGTTTCTTACTAGCTATGCGGCCTTGGATAAGTTGTATGAGGTTATTGGCCTCAGTTCCCCCATCCATAAAATGGGGATATAAACCTAGCTTGGGGCTTATTATTATAAAGATTAGATAAGAGGTTTACAAGCATCTAGATAGTATCTGGCCTACCATACTGGTACAGAGTAACTAAGATGATATCTTCTTGCCATAATGTTGGTTTCTTGTCACCTAAAATAAACAGTTCCTGTTTTCACCATTACGTATCAAGCGCAAATAAGCAGTCAGTGTAAAAAACGGAAACGCCAGCTCGGGGAGCAGTTTGGTTTCTAGCAACTAGAGGGTTTGTCATCTGCCTTGGTGATACAACCTCATTCCGGGCTCAGCAGCTTCAACAGCTTGGCTGGTCGGGAAATACAACAAACGGCACCAGAGCCCAGTCAGGTGCAAAGTTAGTAAATGGCTTGTGGACATGAAACCAACTAAACTCAAGAGAAGCTCTTACTCCCTTCTCTCCCTGACTCCCCAGCCCACGGCAGCCCAGATGATCACCAAGACAGTTTCTCTGAAAAGTGCCACTTACTGAACTTGCGTGGGATGGAACATAATTGCAGCTTGTAAAGGAAACCAGCCTAAGAAAAAACATCCCGAGGAAACGAGGTGATTTTCCTGCAGGGACATTTCCCTTGCTGGCTAATGGGGTCAGACAGCTTGCCCAAGACATGCCTGAGGGAGGACGGTGACTTACCCACCTACGCCCTCCTCCCAAATGCCTCCGGAGCTGCTCTCCAGCCCTAGCTGCCCTCCAAGTCCCAGGCTACTGCCCCACAGGCCCATCATCTAGACAGTGCTCAGAACACTACTGGAAGGAAGAAGGGGGGCTCTACCCAGGACAGGCATCTCTTCTCTGACTGGTTTACAATTGGACCAAGTAGGGTCTGCCTCGCCAATCAACTCATTCCCCTCAGCCCTGGGCTCAGAGTTACCAGCCACAAAAGATTAATCATACACCCTCTCCACCCTTTTGTGCCCTGCGCCTAGGGCTAAGCTGCTAAGCTACTAAGCTATATTTTCCTAGGCACAGGTAACAGCACATGAAGAAATGAATGAGGAATAAACCCACAAAGGAGTAAACTCCACGGGAAGCTCCAACCAAGACACATCACCAAATGCAACACTCCAAGGCAGGTATTGTTCACCCCACATTATAAATCAAGGAAAGAAATCTCAGAGAGGTTAAATAAACACCTGACAGTCACATAGCTAAGAAATGATGAAAGCAGGCTTTGAACTCAGGTCTGACTCCTAAGTCGAGGCTTCTGATATGGAAGCCTCCCTCCTGGCCACAACAATGCCGAATCATACCGACAGAGCCCCTGACACATCAGAATTACTTCACTCTCCCAACATTCTAGGGAGACTTTTAGGGAGGAAAACTGACCCCTAAAGAGAACTCATCATATATTCAGGGTTGCACAACTAGTTAGAGATGAAGCCGGGACTTGAACCTGGGCTTTCATTTTTTGAATCACAAGTATTCGCGGGCCCTGTATTAGGTCCCGGGGAGCCAACAGTGACCAGGACAGATGCAGTCCATGGACCTCCCATCCACAGGGGCGGTGACTTCAGAAATAGCTTTTCCCATGACACCATATGTTGCTCATAAAATATGCAGCAATGTTTCAGCAGTTTTGTTTTGAAGGAGAAAATGATCTGAGAACAGAGGATATCAACAAAACGATGGGACTGGTTTGTATCTGAGGCGCCTGTGTTGTTTTCAGCATGGGTTACCAGAAGTCCTATCCTTTGTTGAAGCCCCATTCTGCCTCTTCCTTAGGGTGTATGGACAGGCTGAGAGACCTGCCTATAATAAGCAGATTGTTTGGGCACCAAAGGGAACCCAACTATCCAATTTCCCACCGAGTCACCACAGAACTCAGTACAGGAAGCCTCAGGCAATACTGACTTGGCAATTAATGGGTTCATCTGGCCAAGTCACACCTCAAGACAGGGCATGAGTTAACCTAATTAGGCCACCCATGAGGCATAAACCCAGGAGTCCATTTTTCCAGAAGGGAGTGTGGGTGAGAGATTGGGAAGGGGGCAGGGGGCATCAGATAGTTCTCACAGGCATCCCTTTACAAGAGTTGTAAAATTCCGATACCTTTGAGGCCCATGTATTATCTTCCTCTACCAGGTACCTTGGTCCACGCAAAGATTAAATGCAGTCAGAGACTGCGGACAAAGCAGTACATTTTCCCCTCTTTCTTAACAGCTATCGAAGGTCCATTGATGCTGCTGCTAGCTGTTCACTCACTGGTCTGGGCATCAAGTGCTAATTATGTTCCTACAAAAGGATCAGCCCCAGAGTCTCCACATCAGGACCCACATACGCCATGGAGGCTGTCGCCATGGCAACCAGGCCTCCTAACTTTGCACTAGCTTTCCACAGAAGACACTTTTCCTTGGTTGGAGCTTTTTTTTTTTTTTTTTTCTCAAAGAGGAGCTCTTTTTATAATTGATGGCACAGAGGCCACGTTTGCTGCCTCATTAAACTAACAAGTCAGATTTACTGAGGCAGTCACTTAGCAAAAAGTTCCTGCTTACAAGGGAGTTTGCCAAACTGGCGCAGTGAGGTGGGGCATCACTGGGCTTTAATATGTGAGGTAGCTCACATCTGTAATCCCAACACTTTGGGAGGCCGAGATGGGTAGATCACAAGGTCAAGAGTTCGAGACCAGTCTGGCCAATATGGTAAAACGCCATCTCTACTAAAAATACAAAATTTAGCTGAGTGTGATGGTGGGCATCTGTAGTCTCAGCTGCTCAGCAGGCTGAGGCAAGAGAATCTCTTGAACCAGGGAGGTGGAGGTTGCAGTGAGTTGAGATCACGCCCCTGCACTCCAGCTTGGGTGATAGAGCGAGACTCTGTCACAAAAATAAAAAATATGTGAGATGTGGGAGCTGGGTATCAAGTGTACCCACGTGCAAGCCTTCCTTTGGGGATACCAGGGAAGACTGCAGAGCCTCGCTGGTCCTTGAATTTCTGAGTCCCATTGCTGGGACTTGAGACTATGTTAATCTCAAGAGTTCAAACCCTGGACAGGTCTGAATGCTTAGCACTCCGCCTAGGCATTTCTCTAATTCTAAACATCCCTCGCTAGAATTTTTCAGAGATGCTATGTAGAAAAAGGGTGACAAAGAAAGCAGCCACTGAAGGTAAAATGCCAGGCAGTGAAAGGAAGTTTGAAATCCCCCACAGACCACAGTTTTAGAGTTTTTAGTATCCACCCCCACCAAAAAAAAAAAAGTTCACATGCTGACAGTGCTGGAGGCTTACCTGGATCGGGTTGTAGAGTTCCTGCAGGGGGCTTCGGGACCCCTTCCGGCAGCAGATGTCCACGCCAAAGGGATTCCTCCGCATGACTGAGGAAAGAAAGCGAAGGTTCATCAGAAATGAGCAACAAAGATTTGTTGTCTGACAAAGAAAAAGGCACAGAGGAGGGAAGAAGAAACAGGCAGGAAAGAAAGAGAAAACCAGTTTCTAGCAAAGGAAGATTTCCGGGCTGTCCCTTCTCCGATGGCACAGCTGCCGTCTGTCTTCCCAACATTCAGGCATCTCCACACCCAGAAGGATGTAAATCATGCTACAAAGTCTCCCCAGCAAGTGTTTTAAGAAAACAGGACAGGCATCTAAAAACTCATTGAAATGAAACCACTTATGAAAGATAGGGGAATGGCTGCTTCAAGACAGCAAATTCTACCAAGCACCAGGCTTGGTGACACATTTTAAAATTCTGCAGGTGTCTCTAGCAACCCTCAATGCCGTCTTATTCCTAGTCCCTGGAAGCCAAGCTTCTGAGGATGAGTGCAGGTCCTTCCCCAGGAGGACCCTCCCACTGGATAGGTCAGAGGCCCAGCCTCCCCAAAGCCTCTCCTCAATTAAATTATTTTTAGTGAAAATATCAGCATGAAGCAGAAAGGATAAGAGTTTATGGTTCCAGACAGAGATGGTACTTACAATTAACAAAAGACGGGGAATTAAGTGAACTCCTCAAAACCCACCAACATTGAGGTTACCAAGAACTCTTTAAATGGCAATTAATTCTTTCTTTTTTATTTTTCTTGTTCACAGAACACCATCACTCTGTGCAGCCCCTGACACATCGTGTAATGCATAGCCATGGGCTTGATCATCATTTGTTGGAGGCAGAAGGAAGGAGAAAGGGAAGGAGGAAATGGGTGAATAGGGAGGGAAGAAGGGAAGGAAGGAAGGAAGGAAGGAAGGAAGGAAGGAAGGAAGGAAGGAGGGAAGGAAGAAAAAAAGGAAAGTAGGAGGGAAGGAAGGAGAGCAGTGAAGAGGAAGAGAAGGAAGGAAAGAGGAAAGGAGAAGGAAAGGGAGGGGAGGAAGTGAAGGAAGGAAGGGAAGAAGAGAGGAAAAGAGGGAGGGAAGGAAGAAGGAAAGGAAAAAGGAGGCAGAGAAGGAAGAAGGAGGGAAGGAAGGAGAGAGGGGAAAAAAGAGAGATGGGGGAAGAAGAAATGAACAAGGGCTTTCTTCTCAAATACGAGGCAGTTTTCTTATGGTTCAAGGTGCAACAGAAGCATGCAGGGAACAAGGAAAACAGATCCTTTCATCAGCCTAAAGAATTCACCTGCTCCATAGAGGCAGCGAATGGACAGTGGGACATTCCCTGGAGCAGACAGCATGGGTTTGAATCCTGACTCTACCACTACCAGCTGTGTGACCTTAGGGAGACTACCTAACCTCTCTGTGCCTCTGCTTTTTGTCTGTGAAATGGGAATGAGAGGGGCATCTAACTTCCTGGGTTGGATGTGAGGATTAAATAAGTTACTACTATGTGCAGAATGCTTAAAGGTGTGCCTGGCCAAAAGCCAGTTTAAAAGTGTTGATGACAAATTTCAGAAGCAATTTTAGATCCCCCTGGGAGGACGGGGGTACTTCTCTATTTGTGGCTATCAAGGGGCCTGGTGAAGAGTGAGCAGACCTCAAGCAGGGTGCAGCTTAAATGACTAGGGGGGCTGGCTGCAGGGGGTAAACCCATGACCTCCACTCAGAAGTCAATCTGAGGTCAGGAAAGGGAGGAGAGTCATCCACGGGCAGCTGATGACATCTGGAAGGTCTCTGGAGGATCAACTACTGCTCAGGTGAGTCTTCATTGACTTGTCACTTTGAGCCACATGGAAACTCTGAAAGTCAATCAACGCCCGGAAACAAGAGGCCATGTTTTCTTTTTCCTTTGCCTTGACTTCCTAGGGCAGGGGTCAGCACATTTTTCTGTAAGAGGCCAAACAGTATTTGCACTCTGCCCCCGCAGTCTCGGTCATAGCTCCTCCGCAGGGTCACTGCGGTGTGAAACCCGCCCCAAACTATATAGAAATGAATGGGAGCAGCTGGGCACCAACAAAACTTCACTTGTAAACAGGGAAATCTGAGAAAATGTCATCTAATTTTCATGTGTCAGAAAACATTATTCTTTTGAGTATTTTCCACCAATGAACAAAAACGGGCAGTGGGCCAGATGTGGCCGTCAGACTGGAGTTTGCCAACCCCCACCCTAAAGAACTGCCCCCTACCCTGGAGAACTGCCCCAGCTCTTCTCGGGGTCAGTAGCACAAGCTCCGAGCACAGCTACATGCCCGCAGTCTTCCCGGGGGAGGAGGCAATCGCAGGCAAATGTCAATACATTAGAGCCATTCGAATTTGATCAGGCTGTACTGAGAAACACTGGTTCTTTGTTCCTCCAGGTGCCCCAAGAAGAGAGAAAAAATTCTGTGTTGTGTTTCTCTTTAATTTATGACTTCATTTTTCATTTCCACCAAAAAGGAGGTAAACTGTTAAATGCACGCAAGTTACCCTCCGTGCACAATGACATAGTAACACTTCGAAGAAGTAAAAACAGCCATAAAACTTGTAAAATTATGCCCATGCCAGGCGAGATTAAATTCTCCCTATGGCGGCAGACAGGCTCATCGAGACCCATGGCTCCGGGACCGCCAAGGTGAAAATCCTACCATGGAATCCATTAAAAGCCTGCTTTTATGGGGGGCAGTATTATTTAATTGGTTTATTTTTCTAATACAAGGCCTTTAAAATGCTTTGACCGTGTGGGGCCCGAACCTTGGGTTCTTTGCCCACAGCCATCAGCCCTGCCCGTGACTTCACTGGATGCCATGGGAACCGGCCTTGGCTCCCCAGACCACAAAAGCCAAAGGGGCCTTGTGTGCCTTTTACGGGAATGATAACAACCCCACGGTTTCTGGAGCACTCACTGTGCACCAGGCAGCCGGTGCAGTGTGATGCTTCCCACTGTGAAGGAAGTACCTGCATTTTATAGATAACCCCTCCAAGCCTCCCTTTACTGCAGGCACTTGGCCAAGGTCAAAGTCCTGTCAGTGGAAAGGAGCTAAGCTGAGCCACGAGACTGACCGGAGCTGCCTGACCTGTGAGCCAAGGGTCACCTCCCAACTTAGCTACGCCAGTTAGCCACGAGGATACAGGCCACTGAGTCACGGCCCACCCGGCCCACCAGGGTGGGAGGCTTGGGCCAGCACTTTATCTCTCCCCAAGGGGACAGAAGGAGCCAGATGACTCAGGAGGGGCCCAGTGACCTGCGGAAGGATGAGGAGAGTCAAGAAAAGCCAAGAGAAGATAGTCTCCCGAGTCCTCCAAGTCATGTTCCAAAACTGCAGTTTTTCAATGTGCACTCTGCTCACTTTCCCCAGGACAGTGCCTGTTAAAAAGGCAGATTTCTGGTCACATTCTTGGGCTTCATCCCAGAGTTGCTGAATCGGAAGGAGGGAGATGGAAGTTAAGGCCCCGCAATCTGCATTTTAATAAGACTTCCCCACCATGAGGAAGAGAGGTACAAATTATACCCTTTATGCCTTCTGATTCTTGAGCATCCAATTATAGAATAAATAATTTCTGCACAACCTGGCCCCATCTACCTCAGAAGACACCGTAACATCTACCATGAGAGTTGTGGAACGTCTCATATTGCTGCTGTTGTGTGAAGGTTTGGTCCCTCCCTAGAAGCGGAGCCCCACTGTATCCACAGGGGCTTTTGGTTTCCAGGGGCCACAAATGACTTCTGGGCTAGTCATCTGCAAGCGGTAGCAATGAGGACCTACTCTGCTGCCTGGGATGCAAAGGAAGGACCAGCAATTATGCACGTGAGTATATTCACCCACATGTAACTTACAAGTGGCATTACGGAAGCTTGAGTAGCCAAGGCGCAGACAGTGGCAGCTAATGTTGAGAGGGCACCAATGCTTTGCCAAGCAGCTCGCACGTTTAACCCCCACAACAGTCCCATGGCGTGGGAACTACTCCCATTCTTTTCACTGATGAGAATATTGAGGCAGGGAGGGGTTAGGTAACTTGCCCAGGTCTCATGACTAGAAAAAGTTGGAGACAGGATTCTGGCTCAGGCAGCCCAGGTTCTCAGCTGCCACACTGGGTCACCTCTCCACTGCCAGGTAAGTCAAACATCTCCAGAGTCTCCTCCTGGCCTGACACCTGGTTGCCTGGCCACTTCTAGGACAAGTCCAACATGCAGTCCAGTCTAGGACAAGTCCAAAGCACCGTAGGATCCATCAAATAGCTGTGATGACAAACTATTAATTAACAGTTATTATACTCATTCATTCGACAAGTTTTCATCAAGCACCTGTAATGTGTGGGGCAACCTGCCAGGCACTGAGCTTGGGGGATATGGCCTCTCTCTATCCTATTCACGTTGCTGCTGCGGTGCTTGGTACATAGTAGATTCTCGAAAGGTTTATGGATGATAGAGGAGTTAACACTTCCTTTAAGAGCATCAGAGAGGTTTGGTGCTTGCTATATATGGGAAAACTGCCAGTAGCATTAGGCTACAGTTATTTCTTTTTCCTTTGAAAAATGAAAGGTCTGATGATCAAAAGCCCCACAAAAAAATTCCCCGAGGCCCTGAGGACATTTAGCGGCAGCCTTCTGCTGTCCACCCCGCCCACTAGGAGTTTTATTTAGCCACAATACTTGTTTCCTCCTCTCTAAACTCACATCAATGGGATTAAAGATTTTTTTTAAAGAATCTAATTAGCTCAATTTACAGTCTGATTTCTTAGACCCAGGAACAGTTCTATATCTTCCACGATACATAAATGAAGCTAAAATTAAACTTCAGCCACTCATGTTTGTTTCATTATAATGAAGAGCACGTTGTTTTCAAGTGGACGCTCCATTCCCACTCTGCTGAGAGCGGCCCATGGAGAGCTGGCTCAGGACAAGGGAATCAAGCCCACCTCGTTCTTGGAGTGACTCCCAGTGACCCTCTCAGTGCTGCTGGAAGGGAGGGGAGCTGCTGGATTGTTAATTCAGGTCCGAAGACATAGAAATGAAATACTGCGGGACCCTGAGTAGGAAC